GTGTAATCATCATGGTGTACTCGCTTGTGTGTGTGTCTGTGTTTGGTTGGAGGTTGGGAAAGTTGCAGCCTCCTTCATTGAAATGGCATTTGCTATGTAATCATGGTGTAATGTCTTGTTTTTTTTTTTTTGTTATTCCTTTTTGTTCTATTCTTCATGTGACTTGCTGCAGCCTATCTGTATCCTTAAACTTCATCTTGTCACAATTCTTCTATGAGCCTCTGATAACGGCTGAACTACAGTTTTCAATCAGCATAGAGCCATGGCCTAATCCTCCATCCTCTTGGTGTTCTTCGTCAAAACGATCTCTGTTGCTCGACTCTGGCAGATCTCAGTTTGGGTATTTATCTCCTGTTTTTTGCCTTCAATTAAAGTCCAAACCAAACCCACAGCAGCAGATTGTAAACGTCTTATCATGTGGCAGCACAGCACACAACCAGTACAGAAACAAAATGCAGAGTATATGTTTTTGGTACTCTAACACTGCGTATATTTTGTAGCTTGAACAAGACTCTCGTGGAACCTGGGCTCGTCTTTTATAACTGTTTCTTTTTAAAGTTTCTTTTTATCTGAATAATGTCAGAGTCTTGGATTTCCAAAAACAATCATTTGAGCTCCTAAGTCTGATAGAGCTGTGGCTTTGTGAGACGGTCTTTGTCTTATGTTACATCCTGATGTTTCATCATATTGTTCGTTTACAATTTTAACCTGGCATAAAAAAAGGAAACAAGTTTGCCTGAACCAATTTTCATAACTAAGCAGAAGATACTGTGATTATAGAGGATAAAACCTTCCTTGCAAGACTTACATTATATCAGCCAATGGAGACGCTGCTTTCACCCGCTGTCCTCATCAGCCAAATAACTCAGACCTGCTTCAACTCTGCTACCTGCTGTGTAAGATTTGGACCACTGTCGACCCCAGCTGACTCTTAGTTGACTTCAGGGTTCCAGCCACCCTGTGGCGCTCTTAACAGGTACATCATACCTGCACACCAAGCTTTTAGGAAAGGCCCATCCAGTCCAGCTGTGCCACCTAAGGCACTCTCCTGCACCTGGATGATGCCAACAAATCAGCAATGTCTGTTCTGGTTTAGCATTTTAAACTGATTCATTTTGAGAAAATTTTTTTCACCTGATAATTTCTCTGGATTATCGAATGTCTTCAAACAAAGTCTATAGTAAGCACAAAAAAGCACTCAGCAGAAAAAGTAAGTAAATTAGTGTTTGGTGGATTGTTTCTTTGTTCTAACAATGCCTATAATGTTGGAAAGCCTGTTCATTTCTTTTTTAAATGGTGCCACATTTGTAAGGAACATGCATTTGTGGGATGAGCAGCAGAGCTGAGTATGTTGGTTGTTCTCATGAAAAATTGGCCAAATCTTCTCTGTTAAACAGCTTATTTTGTTGTTGTTATTGAGTTTTGTTTTAAAATTCTGGTACCTCCTGGTGCTGCCAGTCAGGTGTAGCTATAAGATATATTGTTACTGCAAAGAATAATGTACCAAACACTAATTTACTGACTTTTTGTGCCAAGTGTAGGTGTACTTAATTACTGCATGGATTAAAATTTAATTTCTATCCAGAATAATTCTTTCAGTTATGTTAAAAGAGAATCTTTAATTATTGTTTTATCATAGTGTGAGCCATCAATTCAAAGAACTACTTTCTCCAAGTTCATATTATTTGTGGTGTCAATTTTTATTATTGTTCATTATGGGTTTATTTATTTATTTATTTATTTTTAGTGTTCTTGTATAATGCTTCAAAAGACACATTTGGCTGTTTGGATTAATATTTAACATTATGGTGTCATTACACAGATTCTTTATTGGTAATGAGTTCTGATTATAAAAGGAAGAATAAATTAATTAACATGTTATTGATCAATTTGCAGACCTGTTGTCTTAAATTTGAGTGCTAAACAATGTAGGGAAAAGTTTTACCCTTCTTTCCCCATCCTAATCAAATCCTACAACTTCAGCAACATAATAATTATGCAGCATCTACCACATGGCATAAACATGTTTATACAGTATATATAAAAGCAACTTTGTCACTGAATGCAGCTCTAGCAGGACTAATAAACACAAGCAACAGCAACATTTATTGCACATAAACGTGCCACAAATACACCACAACACCATGAAAGTGCAACAAGTTTACGTAATGTAGCAGGAGATTGTGTCACATTAAGGTTGAGCAACTTTCTTATATTAAGGTGTCTTTTGACATTTCAAATTTGCTGTGGTCATGGTGTGAAATTAGTTGACTTGATCAGTAAATTTGTGCCAATCTGGTGTTCGTACAATATGCAATGTGCTAAAATATCAAATCTTAAAACAGATGTTGAGGTGTTATCTTCTTGCAGCCTTTCATCTAAATATGTGTATAAAATTACACACACACCATGCTACATTAAATCCATAACAAAATTGTTTCTTTACTGTCCTGAAGTTGTCAGAATCAGACTTTATATCAAAACCAGATGAATAAATCCTTCATGCATTAATTTCCAGTTGACTAGATTACTGTAATGGTAATAGATTTTTTCAAGGTTTGCAATAAAACATGAAATTTGAGCAAATAACTCCAGTTCTTTAGTCACTCCATTGGTTTCCAGTTTCTTATAGAAAACATTACAAAGTACTCCCTCTTGTCCATAAACCACTGAGTGGTTTAGTTCTGCAGAACTTAATGTATGGTCCTATAAATTATGAACCAGTCAGATCTCTCAGATTAGAAAACAGGATTATTAATGTGTATTCATACCTCACACATTTGGTCCACTTAAAACGGACCAGAGTTTGTTACCTCCATTGGTCTGGACTTTTTGTGCAGTGTGAATACACTCATACGAATCCTGGTGCTGACCAAACAACCGGACTGAGACCCACTTTTGAGGTGGTCTCAGTCCGCTTACGGGTCATAAAGTTTAGTTTACAACAACGGCACAGGTAAGTGTTTTCCTCATTGCCTTTGTTTTAAACTAAACCTTAAACTTAAAGCTAAGCATGCACAGTAGATCTGCACATGGATCCTGCTCCTTCCTGTCTGTTGACCAATAGGAGAGGAGCTGACCCAGGGAAGACCGCCCACCTTATTTGCACAATGAGGCTGAAATGCATAAGGAAATGTAAACACAGGAGACAGAAAATTGTAAAAGCAACATATAGAAATTAAAAGACTTGTGGGGAAAATTATTTAAATTTTTTTATAATCATGGTGACATAAATCCATCTACAAGTAAAAGGAAAAATAAAACATATATATATTTTTTAAAAGAGGTAAAATTTAAGCTATGTGGTAAAATACTGTATATGATTTCTTGGAACTAAGCTGGAAAAATATGAGGTAAAGTTATTTTTTATTTTATTTGGTACATTTTAAGTGTATTTATTTATTTATTGGTCCATTTATATATTTTTGCTTTTATTTTTAATTGTCAGGTTGGGTCCTCCATAGCGTTACCTTCTGGTATGAAATGTTCTATAGCAATTGATTTGCCTCGCCTTGATTGGCAGCATGTCAGCCAACGTGCCATTGTTGAGTCTTTGTCATTCTGATTTCTTACCCTAAAGTAGGGCTGCCACAAACGATTATTTTTATAGTCGATTAATCACCGATTATTTTTTCGATTAGTCGACTAATCGGATCATACGTTAATTGAATATAAAACATAGAGCTTATCGCGCCAGAATGCAGCTGCTACTGTATAACCATCGTTAGATTTTAGCTATATGCTAACTAAAAATAATTGCCGTGGAAGGCAAGTTCTGCCTTGCAGACATTGCATTGCACGTTTCTCTTTTATTTTCTTAAAATGATCCCACACTTTTCAGCTCCGTTGTCAGGTAGCCATGATACCAGAGCCTGTCTGTATAATGTCTTGTGACGTCCACGGCCTACCCCGGTTATCACTACTGTGCATTTGTGTCAAGGACAGAAAGGCAGATGAGGCAGTGGAAGGTGTCAAAACAGTTTGGAGAGAAAAACAAAGTAAAGAACAAAAAAACCTAATCGATTATTAAATTAGTCATCAACTATTTTAATAATCGATTAGTCGTCGACTAATCGTGGCAGCCCTACTCTGCAGCTATAATCATATCACAGTGTGTGTGCAGCTGATGGGTTTTTAGTTAAGCTCTTTTTTTCCCCACATTACTGTTCAGGAACTGGCCTTATTATTCCACCTTGTTTCAGTCACATCTTATCTGGAAGTAAACACTGATTCTTGATAAGACAAAACTGCTACAGAGTTCAAAGTACGGCAACTTTATTATCAGATTTTCACTGATGACTGTGGCGTGAACACAAGTCCTGACAGATCTGCACTTATATGTCATCCGACGTGTTTTCCAAAGCAGTCCCCTATCAACTGTCAGGTTCTGTATACAATACAACAGGAAATCTGTTGGTAATGTTCAAATCAAAAGACTTAAAACCCAGAAAAATATGATATCCAGCGCTGCATTTGATAGGGGTGAACTCAGATTAAAGTTTTGGAGCCTGCAGGTCCAGACAGGTTTGTTGAGGAGGGCAGAGATGTGAGGGAGGTTCTTCAACTCTAACACCGTTCTTATGCTGCTTCATCCTTTCTTGTTGAAACAAGAAAGGATGCCCGGGGGCATTTTCTCCCCAACTTTACCCTGTTGATAGTTTATACTTTTTTTTTAAATTCCAGAAATTCCTGAGGCAACGGAGTAACAAAGAAGATGAAAAACACGCTGACTTGGCCTTCCCGGCATGTCGTGCATCTCTCTAGATAGTCCCAAAGTGATGAAAAGTCCACAGAGCTGTTGTTCTTTTTAGCTGTTTTCAGCAGAACAGAGGCCAAATCTGCCTAATTTGTGTAAAGAGACAAAGTGTTTAGTCCACCTCTGCCCACAGATCAGCCAGGCATGGCAGACAGTGAGCGAGCTGACATTTCTGTCTCTGAATGAGACGCCTCTGGCTGCTGCCCTTTTCCTCTCATTGAACCCTGTGCTCGCTCTCTGACAGGCACGTTTGGCCGCATCTTCCACGGAGTGCTGCTGGATGAAAAGGACCCCACGAAGGAGAAGCAGGTCTTTGTGAAGACTGTGAAAGGTATGCGCTCTGTGCTTTATTAACAGGAAAAAAAAGAGTCAAATGTTGCTACCTCGTTTGACTTTTGTTTCTGCTATTATTGTGAAACTTTGATACTCTGAAAGCAAACAGGAGTGGAATGTGCATACCTCTGGCTCACCTTTAAATGTACACATGGAGTTGCTTATCACACCTTTCACCAGTATGAGCGTTGCTGCATAGACATGAACCTGTTTTACTTTTATGTTCTGCAACAGCAGGGCAGCAGAACCTAAAGCAAGTCGTAGCATCTCAAGTGTTATATTAAGTCATTTTAAATACATTTTCTGTTATTAATCAGTTTATAAATCAGAATATCAGGGATATTTTGATAGTTTCAAATTTTCTTAACTCAATGCACTGGTGCAACTTGAATTGTTTTGATCATCTTCTTTCCCAGGTTAACCCCAGAGGAAAGGTCAAACCTGTGTGCAGCCGTGGGTTTGCGCAGGTTAGAGAAAGGGAAAATTTGAATGGGGAAGTCCCAACATGCAGAGTGCAAACTGTTCTGCTTGGGTCATCTCTCTGTTGTTTCGAGTGACAAGTCAACCAAACTACATCAGTTGACCTTCAGTATTTTTTGAAGTGGGTTCATGTGAAGTCAGTGTTTCTGTTACCTTATAAGACAGGAAACTTAAAATTAACAGTTCCTGATATATGCAGTACTCTGCAAATTATGAAGTCAGTCCTGAACTGTATTAAACTGTGTAGTTTGAAAGAATGGTTTTCCAATTCTATTAAGTAAATATAAAATGCAGGTACACACTGAATGAAGCACTCCACTGGTTATGATGAAAACAAAAATAACAAGTGGAAGGTCACGATTGACCTACATTAGGCTGTGGTCTGAAAGTAAACAAATACAGCAGAATTGGATGTGCGTAGAATCTCGCAGAACAGGTTTAGGTGGAAATATAGAAGTAGATCTGCTGCTAAATGTGAAAGAAGAGCTAAATAATAAGACTGTAGTTAAGAGTAATTATTACGGATCAAGTAATGCAAAGGAGTGCCACTGCCACACAGACTACACTATTCACGCATTTTCAAAAAGTTTCCAGACTGATAGGTTAGGTTGAAAAGATAAACTTGTGTTTTTATTTGTTTTTCCTCAATAAATCAGAACGTAAATACAGAACAATTAGTGCTGGGTAAAGATTCAAAATTCAAAATTTTCATTGCAATTAATCACTACATATGTTTTAGATTAATCACATTATTGTGCACAAAATTAAAAATTATAACTTGAAGATGTTTAGAAAATTTTTATATAGAAAAAGTTCGATGCATTTTCAGACACGTTCAAGTTCAGTTTATATAGCGCCAAGTCACARCATACGTTGTCTCAGGGCACTGTACATAAAAAGAACGATCTAAAGAAGAAACCAGCAGGCTGCGTTGAATCACTTCATCACAGTCTCCCATCC